TTGGTGACTACAAATATAATGAGACCAGGGACCCAAGTTCTAAACCTGAACCTGGCACTAAGGAATTATGGCACAAGCCGCCTTGACTTGACTTCCTCATTTATCCTTGTGTCCCAGGAACTGGGTAGAATCCATGGACCGAGGAGGTGCCTTAAGGGCCTGTATAAGAGGAAGGGGACACTGAGGTAAGCTCTACCTTCCACCCGCTACTCATTCAATTAGAGCAGCTCCACTTGGATCCATTTTATACAGTAATGATTTAAAAAGGAACTTACAGGCTTTTTTGTTTTCGTTTTTGCTTTTCTTAAGTTTGATATTTAATGATGTTCTTTCTCCAAGTCTTAGAATTGGAGATGGATAGATGAACTCTCTTGTATTTATGACTACACTGTCTCCATTTATTCATGCAACAACTCTTTCCTGAGCACCTTCTGTTTTGTTTCCTGAGTATATAGTAGTTATCAACACAGGCGCTGCTCTCAAAGAGCCTATGGTCTAGCGAGGGAGAACTGCCGCACAGGGGTTAATGATTCTGGAAATTTAAACCCAGGGGCCTTGGGAGCACATCCGAAAGGCAACTGGTCCTGTTGGATTTGTGGGAGGTGTTTAGAGTTGACTTCCTGGAAGAAATACAGATGGGGAAGCCTTCTTTTTAATGTTCTTTGCTTTCTTTCCTATCTGTCTTTAATAAAAGCTACTGGAGACTTCTTTTGGAGAAGATGGGGAAAGATGAGACAACAAAGTTCCGAGAACTGTTAAGAACTCTTGGGCTTGTCTGACTGTATTCCTGGGCAAATTGCTTAATAGAGATTAAGCAATAGATACTGATCTATCTCCATTTCAATGTCTGGGTATACAGGATGAGTAATAATACAATGTATCTCAAAAGTATTATCATGAAGATTAAATCAGATAATGTGTGTAAAAGTACTGGTAAAACCATACGATCCTATAAAAATGTTGACTATTGTTATTGCTAACACTCTGCTGAGGGCTTTAATTCCAATTAACTACATGATCTTTCCCAACTAAACCAAGATTCTGGTCTCCTGATGCTGTAAAAATGTCACATTTCAATATAAACAATAATAACAGCAACATTGTGAAGTCTTCATTAAAAAGCAGACCCTCTTTAGCTTTAGAATGGGGAAAACATGTTTGATTTTTTTTTTTTTAAGCCACCCTTATGTTCACCTCTTAGCTAACTTGTGTTAGAAATGTTTAGTATATACAAACATCTTGGTTACATAAATAAAAAAAAAAAAAAGAAATGTTTAGTATAACCTCTCACCGTTTGGGGATCTATATAGGGGACCCTCTTGCTTGTCTTCTCCCTTGTGTTGGGGTTCCTGGGCCTCTGCCCTCGCTCAGAATCTTCTTAAACCCCTTGAGATGTCAAAATAGTAGAACTTGCTAGAGGCAAATGCTGGTGACTTAAATGAGTGCCGCAGGGAGGCCAAGTGGCCTGGAGGGTACGTAGTTCATCTAAAGGAGCTGTCTCCACTCAGTTTGAGCCCATCCCTTGAAGGGCCCCAATATTGTATTTTTCAATAGAATCTAGTTTTTAAATGTGAATGTGAACTATTCCAGTTTGTAAATGGTCGTCCCCCTTGGCTTCCAAAGCCAAGTCTTTTTTACTCAAAGGATTTGCACTCTACCTACAATTAAAGTCACTCCTGTGCTTAAATCCTGTGGCTCCCCATTGCCTAGGAATAGAGTTCACATTCTTTAATATTTGTGGTCTGGGCCCTCCCTGCCTATTCTTCAACTTGAATCCCTACCTCCGCCCCCGCCATGTTGCAGTGCACCTGCCACATGCTAGATGCTGTGTCCGCCGTGGGAGCCAGCCACAGCTGTGTCCCTCAAGTTGCTGCCAGTCTTACTGGCAGATTACCTTGTAAATGGGCCTGAGCACACAGAGTTCCCACAGCTCTCTGTGGGGGCTTCCCACAGCCCTACTGCCTAATGATTACAGATGTGTATTTGTGAGCTCCTTGCAGAAAGGAACTGGTATTTGGAGTATAGTGGTTGCTCAAGGTTTGTTGAATGAATCAATGAATATGATAAATGTTCATTGTAGTTCTCTTCTCTGTAATTGGATTTTTTCAGGCTTCATATGATTTTAAAATAAAACCCAAATCAGTTAAAAATCCAATTAACCAGAATCCGTCACAGATTTTCTATTGTTTTGCTTTTTACCTTCATAATTAAGAAGGAAAGAAATTAAGACAAAATGAAAGACCACCTACCACAAGTACCATGTCTACTCCTCCTGCCTCTAGCACATCTGAGTCTGGTCCTGTTTGTTGTCTTAACATTCTACAGTTTTCAAATTGTCGAAAGAAGAATTGACACTTCTTATGATGATCCTAAAATGCAAGCCATTTAAATAAACAATGACAAACATCCCTCATAAAATTAAAAGTAAAAGTGGAAAATATTTTTTAAAGGTTTTCTAATTCATTTTCTAATGGGGATGCTTCATTTAAGGATGAGTTAGATTTTGTTTCTTGTAAGACTGACATTTTTTTCCCAGAAGAAAGAATTTACCTACAACATATTTAATCATAGAATTTTCAAAGAAAAATCTTGGCAAATTTTTCAAAAGGAGCAGCATTTGCCATATGTTTTTCTTTGTTGTTGTTGTTCTTCTTTTCATTCTAGAATACCAACATTAATATGACTCTCTAACTCTATGTCCCTCACCCCAAGTAGCTTTAAATTAAATATAGCATTCACAGGTTTGTTCATAATTTATTGACATTTCATTTTTTAGTGTTTCTATGATGGAAAAAAAATGTTTTAAAGGTTAAGGATCTTACCTATAAAGTAGGAGAAAAAACATAGAAATATGTGTTGAGTAAACCCAGGTGGCCCCCAGGGCATTACTGATACAGCTTTCCTAAAAGAGAAAGTGGTGCTTAAAAGAGGTAATTTCCAAATTTCCCCCTGACTGAAACCTTGTAACTCAGATGAACCCTGAACTGAGACTCTTTGCATCTCATTTTCTCATTAGGTTTTATTACAGCCAACAAAACTTCCAGTGGTAAATCACTTCCCTTCTCAACGGAACACCAAAGTCCCATAATGTCTGCACAAACTGAAATAATGAAATGGTTTTTAAGCAAGCTTTAGGGATTAGAGAGGGGAAAAGGAAAAAAAGAAGGGGCACCAGGGTCTTCTCATCTCTATGCTAACCAAAGTGTGGTTTTCCAGCCCTTTCTCTTGACTACTAAAAAACAAAAGAATAAAAAAGGGAAATGTCACTGGGCTTGAAACCCCATTTAAAAGCATCAGATTCCTCTTTCAAGTTCAAGTTCATTACACACACACACACACACACACACACACACACACAAGTGAACAAATTAGACCTAAACCCGTGCCTCAGATAAGACATGGTATAGTAAATAAACATTTTAAAAAGTAGTCATGGTGTTAAGACCTACCCCATCCACCTAGGCCAAAGGTGCCAACATAAAAATAAACAGTTTTGTTCTGTCAATTGAAGAAGCATTTCGTTTCACACCCTTGTATTATGCCATCCATTTAAAAGAGTTACTTAATGTTTACTGTGTATCAGGTATAGACAGGTTCTTGCCCCTAAAGAACTTATAATTTAGTAGAGAAGTAAAAACGTAACATGATTTTAAAAAGGATGTAGTAGAAGACCGCAGTATAATTAAGTGTTAAACGATGTGGCACAGATGTTAAGTGACCTAGATCACAGGAAGGGAAAGATGGCTGAGGGCTGGGACTGTCGAGAGTATGTATTTTCAATAAATTCTTAAAGTGATGCCAAATTAGAAAGTTGTTATAATTGCTGCTAATTTGTGATTTTAAAGTATTTACATGATTCACTACCGCTTTCCAACCAATTGCTGTTCAAAAGGACATGCATGGAACCGTTGAAGCTGGCAGGAGTCATTGCTCTATAATCTCCAGGGATTTGCTAATGAGGGGAAAAAAGATATATTTTTGTGTTGGATAATGGACCAAGAATTGAGCAGATTTTGCATGGGGAATATGAACCTTAGTGAACAAGAAAACAGAACTCAGGCTGTGATTTTGGTATGTTTTAATTTCTGATGAACTGTTTTCTTCCTGATACACAAGTTTTAAGTTTTATGGGTGAATCAGGCTCAAAAAAATAATTTTTAATTTTTTAATATATATTTTCACAATTTATTTCCCTTTTAAGAAAAGTAGACTAGAAGTTATATTTATATAAGAAAGTTATATTTATATAAGGCAATGAGAATTTTCTAACTCCTAAAAATGGTGTATTTCTGGGGAGGAGAGTTTTCGCATCCTTCAAAATTGAGGCAGCTGACTTATCGTTTGAAATTACCAAACCTCAAGCGTACATTTGCACTTTTGGTGTTAAAATGCTTTTCACTTTATAGTTTGGCGAAGATCTTGGTCTCTTTATGTTTCTTACCTTTTCAGTCTTTGCAATACAGGCAGTGTGATCTAGATTAGATTTGTTATAATTAAGTTTAAACTGCTAAAATAGAGACATGTCTTATCTGGTGTTTTGGGTAACTTTAGACAAGTTTAGAAAATCGTAGTTAGCATTTTTTTTCTCCATACTTGATTGCATTCAGGGTCTTCCCAAGAAACGTCAGTTATTTCCCCACTTCTGAAAAAAAAAGGGACTTTTTCCTAACAGTTGTACAACCAGGCAAAAGAGCACACTCTCGTGTTCCTTTAAGGGAAAAAAAAAAAAAACCTGCAATAATGTAAGGTAATTAAATTTAGCCTTAGAAAAAGTCTTTGAAACGTTCTAATCAAGACTTCCAGCTTTCCGAGTGTGTGCACTTTATTTTTCAATTCTTCCTGGACCCGATTTTGCATTTCTAATGAAAGTGAACTGACAAAGCGTGAAAGTGGTCTAAGGAGCAAAACAAAGCCAGCAAGTATGCTTCTGGTGTGCCAGGATTAATCAATATTCCAGAAACCTCGGGCTTCCCGCCCCCTGCCCCGCACTGTTTTCATTCCCCCACTCCCCCTCTCCCGGCACGGACTCCTCCCCTTTTCTTAAGTCGCCGCGGTAGTAACTTGCAGTTGCAGAGCACATGCCCGGCAGTGTCAGGGCTGGCCTGCCCCGCGCGCCGCGGCTCCGCTCCGCCGTACCTGCGGGGGAACTCGCCTTGCCACTGCCTGGCGTCCTCCAGCCGTTACGAAAGCAGAGAAGGTAAGCGTGTGTTCCTGCCGTGTCTCGCGTCTGGTTCCACTTCTCCGCCAGGGTGTAGTGTATTTCGTTTCCCAAGCAGAGGCGCAGCGAGAGGCAAAGCTAGCCATTTTGGTAGATAAAGTCCGTGCTAGGCATTTACTGCCGTGAGCGTGTGCGGTTGTCTCTCTCTATTCCCGTCCTCTCTTAGCTCGGACTTGAGTACATCCAGGGCGGATGGGGGCAGGTCGTGGTCAGACATATCTAGGGCCGAGGCTGAGCTTGACCAACTTTAAAAGTGGTAGAGAGAATCAGAGCTATTAGTAAAAAAAAAAAAAAAAAAAAAATCTGGTTTCTTCCTTCTCCACTTTTCTCCTAAGCTTTTAATCGGGTGTGAAGTCTTAAACAACTTGTAGGTGTTACTACTGTGGCCCCCCAACCTGCAATTTTATTTAAAAGTCAAACTGTTAAGTCAAGTCTTTTTCCCCCCACCCTTGGGTTTGCCAGAAGCCTGCGAGGAGTCCCTTGGTTTCCAGTTACCACCCCCGCAGGCGCACACGCTGGCTGCTCGCGCTGCCAGCCCCCCACGTCCTCCGCGCGGCCGGTTTCCCCACACTGATCGTGGAAAAGGCTGTGGACCACAAGTCCTGTAAAGCAGCCGAAGCAATCTCTTGATTTTTCAGAACAGCCGATTTCCACCAAGGAAAGAGATTCACTCCAACGTATTTGAATAACCTAAGAGCGCTTTAAAGAAACCAGAAACCACACACACACTGTAATGTTTGGAATGAAAATTGGATTCGTCTCCTCTCCTAGAAATCCTAGATTTTTAAAATACTTAGAAGTCAGCGATAGTTTCCCCAGAAGACTCCACTGTGTTTGCCCCCAAAGGCAAATGCCACTTGGTACTTATACTCCTAATAAAAATGAAAATGAATTATGATCTCGGATCGTTTATAGATGTGCCAGAGCACTTTGCTTATTTCATCAAAGAAATGGAAAAGTTACCCTGTAAAATAGTCAAATGTATTTCCCATTTGACTGTGGGCACTTGTGTTCTTTTTACGATCGTATTTACTAATTGATATTATCATGTATTTTTCTCAATGAAGAAAATAGCTAGTTACTTTACTACATGTAGCAGAAAGACTCAACTGTGGCATATCAAAATCTTAATCCTTTTTATTGACCTGGTTATGCCTTCAGCCATGTATGCAACATAGTTTATCAAGTAATTACTGAGCACTTGCCGTACATTCAATTCTATTGAACACTTACCAAGTGCGTATGTTGTTCAAGGCTCTCGGCTAGGTTCTGGGGAGTAGGGTGGGGATGGGGGTGCTCAATCACACCTAGCTTTGAGGAACCCTGTTATAGCCTCATTGGAGAGGGAAGGACAAATTTTTTAAAAAGAGAGAACATGAGTTTCTGCTCATATATTCTGAATTTATGCACGTTTCTCACACATGGTCTAGTAAAATATGCACATGGTAGCCTTGAAGCCTGGTCTTGTGGCTGCCCAGTCCTTGATTCCTACTGAGAGTATACACTTTGCCAAGAGCTTGCCTGGTGTGTGGGCAGCACTGATTTTTCGCCCCTGGAAGCTGTAATTCTTGTCTCTTTTTCTCTTATTCTAGTTGTGTTCCCTAACATCAGCGAGGAGGTTTGGCTTTCTGGGAGTGATTCTGAGACACTGAGGTGCAAAGAAGACGCGCCCAGAGAAAAGTAAAATATGACTAAAAGCAATGGAGAAGAGCCCAAAGTGGGGGGCAGGATGGAGCGATTCCAGCAAGGAGTCCGTAAACGCACACTGTTGGCCAAGAAGAAAGTACAGAACATCACAAAGGAGGATGTTAAAAGTTACCTGTTTCGGAATGCTTTTGTACTGCTCACTGTCTCAGCTGTCATTGTGGGTGAGTCATTTGATAAAAAACAAAAAACCTGTATCTCGTTTCTCTGGGGCATCTGGCTGCCTGGGAACATTATCAGACGGACTGATTGTAGGTATTCAAAATGATAGCCCAGGCTTTCCTCTGAACTTGAAGATTTTTTTCCTAAAATGACAGTTTGTTGGCATATTTGGGCAATAAATGGTAAACACATGGGAATCTGAAAGCAGCGTTAGTTATTAGGCATTATGCAAATCAATTGCCTATGTGAGCAAGTGAAATAAATCAAATGTTTTCCCATTTCATGTGAGGAAAAAAGAGTGATAATTTAAGCATTAGGCATGAGCAGTTAAATAATAACAAAAGCAGGTATGCTAGATTTGGCCAAAATGTGATTATTATACAATGTCACTTTCCCTTAAAACTGATTAATATAATGAGTACACCAAAAATGGGATATGGGTCCCTAATAGTAATTATATTCTAACTGAGGCTGACTTGGTGCTAAGTAGCAATGCCTAAACATAGAGGCCGAATCTTTTATGTGTTTACACTCAGCAACTGGTAAGGTAAATTGGGGAAAATGTTAACACAGATCTCTTTCATTCATTGCCCCGCAGAGACTGCCATAACCAGCTATACCGTTTTTGAAACATTTCAGTCTCTTTCTAATTTAGCATGGTTGACAGCAATCTGTACTAATAAAACATTTTTATTTAGTTTATTGGTATCTGAAGTCATAGTTTATTACTTATGGGTAGCATTGATCTTACTTTAAAAGATAGCTGAAAGAACTACTTATTTTGAACTTTTGACCAAACCAATATAGAAATCCTTAAGTTGGCAAACATATGAGCCAATGCCAAGTTGTAAAAAATGCTCTAACTTGAATTTCCACCAATTTGCCACAAAAAAGTTATTCACATATAGTTTTAATCTCTACCTTAGAGTTTGTCAAGATTTCCATCAACTATACGGAGGTAATAACTGCATAAAGATTTAGAAAATTCTGTAGTGTGTAAATATAATTATAACTTTGTCCAAAAAAATAGAATTCCTAAATGGCAGACAAATAGAAATACAGCAGGAGCATTTGTCATAAGACTCTAGATATATCCCATTTCAACATCTTTGGCTCCTTTTGAGTAATTGTTGGTGACTAATGATCATTCAGTTAATTTTAGAGATATTCAAAGAGCATGTGTCCTGATTGGTCCACAGAAGTAATGGCTTTCTATAGTAGGTTCCTAGGTTCAAATATATTCCTAGAAGCATTTCAGTACCACGCCTTTGTTCTGGAAGTCAATGCAAAAATGTAATATGCTCACCTCATTTTTGCTCTGAATCACAGTCAGTGTCAAATCAGGCAATGGCTGCATAATAATAATAGTAAACATTTATATAGTACTATTCCAGCTACTTTCTAGGTGTTTTGCACATATTAGCTCACTTAATCTTCAAACAAGCCAAGAAGTGAGCAAGAAGGGATGATTATTACTAAGATGGTCCTTGTTTTATAGCTGAAACTGACTATGGAGAAATTAAGCAACCTGCCCAAAGTCACAATGCTGGTAAATGCTAGAGCAGAAAGTCTAGTGCCAGAGGCCCTAACCATTCTACCATCCTGCCTTTCTGCTCTGCTTACCAACTGACGTCTTGTGAGAGATGCCAGGAAGAGAAACTCTCCCATGTGTTGGTGGAGGCAAATTAGCTAGCAGTGCTAGATGTATTCACATAGCGTTGTCATTTTACTATATGATTTACCCAGTTAAACTCAGCAGAAAATTTACAATTCTACAAACGATTAAGCCACTTCCCTCTCATTCATTTAACAAATACCCATTTATTTCGTAATCCTAGGAAATCCCAGGTGTATAATAATAGAGCTCAGTAATAATGGAGTACGTTTGAAAAAGATGCAGAAATGCTTATTCAAAATGGTATTATAAACACCAGAAAGGTTTGATTTCTAATATAGAAATGTTTCCATTAAAGAACAGAGGAATGGAACGTAATAAAACCTGAACATGGAAGGAAGTTTCTAAGCGATTAGTATGAAGAAATAATATAGCTAATAAAAGGAAGATAATACCAGGATTTAAGAGTCCATTTTCTCTAGGAGTTCTGGGATCACTTCCTCACCCAATGAGGCCTTTCCTAAGGTTTGTGAGAACTGCAATAAAAGTTGGCTGAGCTGCGGTGGATAAGTTGGCCAGATGCCCTCCTGGTTGGCTTTACTAATGGAAACTTAAGAGGTAGAAGCACCAAGAAGAAGGCACTAACAAAGAAACACATAAAAAGAGCTCATTGACAGTCAGAGAGACCACTGAGTCTACACTAAAGATTCGGAATAACAAATAGACAACTTAGTAACAGATTTAGGAGTAAAGGAAGAACCCTTCAGTTATCTGTTGGTGTGTCTTCCATTGACGGCCAGTAGACATAAAGGCTCTATTTAGCTTGTCACTGGGTTGCATGTCTACATCAGCCTAAAAGAAATAACAGGAAAAGTGTATGTCTGGACACAAACTCTAATTTATTTGCTGTAGCATAGGAAAAAATGGGAAAGATGCTAGCAAGGAAGAAGGAAATAGTTATTTCCCCAAAGATAAGAAGAACTCTAGCTATTACCCACTTTTCAAATTCTTAGGTTTTCATTGTTTTTAATTTTAAAAATACACTGGGAAAATCTATGTATTGGGGTGAATTTTTTGTTCAATCTGTTTCATTTTGCCTTTTTGAAATAACATGTATGTGCATTTAATGTATGAAAGTGAACACTAGAAAAATATGGAACAGAGGTAGAGACATGTGAACCTGTATATTCAGAATAAAGCAGAGAATTATAAACATTTCAGTATTAATTCTCTCTACAAGCAGAAGTATAGAACCACTTGTGTGATTTTATGTCATTTCCAATGTCATTTCCAAGCAATGTCAAAGTCTGAATGTGCCATGCTACAAAAGCCCATGTAACAAGAGCAGATTAGCAACCTGAGAGAACATAGTACCAAGTTCCAAGTCCTATTAAGAGGGCTGATCATGGAAGCATTAGCTAATGTCTTCCAGGGCTGTTGCAGAAATCCTTCTAACAAAAACCACACTGAGAGGAGTGGTCACTGTCTTTCTACCTCCAGAAAGCACTTTCTCATTTCAAATGGGGTGGTAAGTTGTATTAGAGTGACCTCAGACATCTCGCTGAAAGAAAGGGAAAGTCCTTTGTCAGGTTCAAGTCATAGAATGCTGACTCTTTGCATGTCTAGGGAATGAATCGCACAATAAAAATGAAATCACATACCAAAGAATTATGAAGAAATGGGTCGTAAGATCATCTGCAAGGGGTAGAAATCTGTAAATAGAATTGGATCATGGTTTTACCTGAAGGAGTTCACAAACATAGTAACAAGCACCTTTTTCTGATGCTGGTCTTGCCCTTGCTGATTTCTCCTTTATATGGGTTTCAGAGAATTTGGTGACTTCTCAGGGAACAAAAACATACTGACTAAAGTTTTATAAAGCATCCCACCCCCACCCTGTTCACCCATGCTCTTTGGCAATAAATTTAAATTGCACTAAAATTCAGTGCAATTCTATAGTATCTCTAGAAAGATATACAAGAAACTGGTCAGCATGGCTGTCTCCTGAAATAAGAGCTGGGTATCTCAGGAATGGGGCAAAATAAATACTACTTTCTTCTGAATAAGTTTTTGCATAGTTTGAATGTTTCTTTGCCTCATTCATATATTATCTACTAAATAAGTTCAATTATTTTTTTAAAAATTCAATGCTATTCACCAATTTAACAAATATCGAATGTCATGTATCTTGCCTTGTGTTATGCAATGGAGATTCCCTGTTTTCAGGTAATTTAGTGGGAGACATAAATGAAAAATAAGATGAGAAAGGAACATATGATCAGAGACAGTAATAGAGATGTTTATAATTAACTTTAAACATTTTTTAATGAGATCATATCCTACTGTTTTATAGAATATATGACATTTTTCTGTGTTGGTACTTTAGAGATTCCATTTCCTCATTACCAGATGCATTGGGATCCCTAGATGTGCCATATATGAAAAAAAAAGAGTGTAGCTTTTGATGAAAGACAGACCTGGATTGATATGCCAGCTGTGTGGCTGACATTTAATAGCTGTGTGATCCAAAAGAAGGCATTTAACTGCTCCGAGCCTCCGTTTCCCCATCTGTCATTATAGCTATACTATATATTGCTAACCTTAATAGCTAACACTCACCCTGTATGCCACGCACTGTTGTAAGTATTTCAGTATATGAACTTTATTTAATTCTCACAATTCCCTAGAGAGGGAGGTATTTTTATTACTCTCATTGTACAGACAGGGAACTGAAGCTCAGATCCTTGTCTCACGTACTGAGTGGAATTCAAATCCACTCTTCTGGCTCCAGCTTCGTAGTCTTATCTACCACGCTTGTCTGGGGCCTGGTCCCTGCTCTCAGGGACTTCCCATTCTGGTTTTATTACAGCAATTAGCCAGGAGTCTGTGCTGAAGTAGGACAGGAAAGATGGAATGGAAACGTTGAATTGCGAGGTCACTGGTGAGACTTGGAGGTTGATTTAATGAGAGAAGGTGGACTGCAGGCTGACTGCCCCGTTTCCGAAGAGAGAGGCTCACGGTGCCAACTATGAAGGCAGAAAACAGGAGGAAGATTGGGGTGGGGGATGCACGAGGATAATACCCGTTGGACCTGCTGAGTTTAAGAGGCGGGACACCACACCGGTGGCTATCTAATGGAAGCGACTCACTTTAAGTAAAGGTTTGGAAAATATTCCTGTGATCTCCAGACTAAGAGAGGATGGTACTGTTTTTGAATTTTAAGCGAATAACGATCAATGAATCAGGTTATCCTACTGCAGAAGCTATTCAGTGTGAGTCTATTCTCAGAAAAGTTTTTTCGGTGACTGTAGGGCCTTCGTGCCTGCGAGCAGTAATCTTTCAGAAGTGCCACAGTGGTGTTCTGCACCCTGGACACTGTCTGGCTGA